ACTTTTTTTCTCCTTTTTTTAGTTAAGAACACCCTCTGATTCTCTTGTTACGGATACAATCTAAACTTGTATTTGTAACTTGTCATGGACGTGACCGGAAAAGCTTGACAACTTGTAATTGTAAAAGGAACTTGCAATGATCAATTGTATATGAACAGAGCTTTTGTTCACAAACAATTGTTGATCTGAACGTGAACTGTAATACTAACCAATCAATGTGACACGGAGTTGTAGCAAATTCGAAGTTTCAATTGTTGAAGAGCCAGAGTCCTTGTTCTTTCTTCCTGCAACAAGAAAAGCCAAAAGCAAATTTTGGGGAGGTATTGAAGGGAGATGAGGAAGAGACACCCTTTTATCCCCTTCCTCTTTTTATAATGAGTTGGTCTCCTTTCAAGAGCCCGCCCAATTCTCTATTCAAATATGTTTAAAATCATACATGAAAGGAAAGCCAATCTTTGGCAAGGATGACTTTCTCATTTTAATTTAATTTGGGGGGAACCCACAAGATTAACTTGAGATAGCCTGTTATTAGGATTCTCTCCACCAAATTTGGGTTAATCCAATCAAGATTGATTAGTTAAACTTGCCGAAAAGGCCATTTGGCAAGAGGTCGACCCCACATAAACAAAGAATTTTATCAATCCGGTTAGGCTAATCCTTTTTAAGTTTTTATATCTATTAGCCAACCATGTTTCCTTTTCTGTGGAACCTTAGTTAAGGCGTGATTTCCATTCAATTGGATCCTATTGAGCTGACTCATCTGTCAATAAATTTCGTTGGGATCATTCTCTCGGTTTAAATCACATCTCATGTAATGAACCGATTCAATGGGGGCTTACTAGATGTAGGCCATGTGGCAAGGAATCCATTTATTCACAGAGCTGATAGTTCAATTCCTTTCTATATTGAACTTCATGGAATACATCCTTCAGGCTAATACGTTAGTAGGCCACTACACTAGATCCCACCCATGATTCATTCATCTTAATGGGCCCAACATGTAGCCACTTTTAATCCTATATACTTGTTGGGCCAAAACTTTGCTAATTCAATCCTTCCCAACGATTACTCTCTCTCTCTCTCTCTCTCTTCTTTAAAGAAATGAAGAAATGCTGCTGTTTATGCTGTAGATAATTTGCTTTCGTCAGTCCTCTTATTTAAACACTTTCTCCAATACTATGTTATTTTGATGACTTCAATGTTATGCACTCTAGATCTTTTTCTTTGACAACCTTGTTTGTTACCAAGCCTTTTTTTTCTTTTTTTTTTTTTGCTAACACTGTTATCTGAGCTTCATTATGAGGGACTTAAGGGTTGAATCTGTAAATCATTCTGAAGCCATGCTAGAACCCCATAAGTTTTCAAATACTGATTTAGACATAACCCGTTGTCTTTTGATGTCTATTTCCTCTCAATTTATTATATTGTCATCTTAGAAATTTATTAAAATGTTTTCTCTAAGGCTATGTTTGGTTTGAAGGAAAAGGTAGGGAAAGGAAGGGAAAGACGGGGAAACCTATACAATATTTGTAAAGGTTTCCCTACCTTTCCCTTCCTTTCCCTGCATTATCCTTCAAACCAAACATAGCCTAAGGGTACTTTGTATCTTGCTTCTCTCATGGTTTGCAATTTTCCTGGCATTTATTGATTGGTATTTCCTTTGAAATTTCCTATCTGAGAGGGCCTCAAAACATCTAGTGAATGAGTTTATCTATTGCATAATTTCAATGAAACACTGGCAATATTACTACCAGTGTTCAATCTATAAATATTTTGAGAAACATAGAAAGGAAAAAATGAATTATTATTGGAAGAAATGGGAAATATTTTCAGAAAAATCACATTTAAATGGATATTATTTTGGACATCAATAAGATATGGTCATCATAGCAAGTTTGTTCCTTGAATTTGTTGTGCTCTACATTGTACCTGTTAATACCAATCAAAAAAATGCCAGTTATATTTTACTATTTTGGTTTTAAAGATTGTTCGTGCCCAAATCAACAGTTCTTGAAGTTTCTTGAAGAATTCCATTTCTCTTGATGCTTCTATTCAAACCAGAAAAATTTACATTGGAATTTCCTTGTGTATTGAAATTGTGAGTCTTGGTTCTTCACAAATGTTAATTATATTCTATTTCCATCAATTTCACTTGATATTAATTTGAATGATTTTTGGCTAATAGTTTTTCTTTTCTAAACTTTATTTAAATTGTAATTTCTTAGTGGCATTTATGAGATTTGAGATGAAGAAATTTGAACGTAAGGCTGTGTTTGGTTGCAGTGCAATTTTATTTGCATTAGTACAAATGCATGGGAGTGCAAATGAAAAGAATGTAAATTCTGGTTTAATTTTGGTTTGGGTTTTATTTTATTTTCCTTGAAGTCTTGTTTTACTTAATTTGTACTCCAATCAAACAAAATAAGATAAAATTTGAAATAAAAATAAATCATAATTTGCACTAAAATCATTTGCACTGCCATGGTTTTGCATCAGTGCAAATAAATTCACATTGCAACCAACCAAACCCACGTTTTCTAATTGGATCTTTTACCCCCACCCCCCTTTGAAAATTCAGAGCCCCTTAAGCTCAGTTTGGAAGGAGTACACATGCAAATATATACAGTGCAAATACATACAAAATCTATACTATTTTAAAAAGCACGAATAGCCTCAAGAATATTTTTACAATTTTTTGAGGACAAAATTTATCCCTCTATATTTAAATTTATTGATAAAAATGAGGGCAAATAGTGTAATTGGCTTTGATATTAAATGAATTGAAAAGAGGTAATTTTAAGATATTCAATACATTCAATTCCCTCTTATTAAATCCAACATTTAAGTTATTAACTTGCATTCCTGTTCATTGAATCATTTATTTAAGCCATTTTTGTTTATTCTCGTCATTAAGTTCTATTAATTAAATCTATACTTAATAAATTAATAATTTCAATAACATAAAAGATTATACTTTTAAAATCTACCTACAAAAAATAGTATTTTCATCTACGTGGTGGTTAGAAATTAAACTATGTTGGGTCAAATGGGTCAATCCATTTTTCCACGATTAAATAATGAAATTCAAAAATAGATCAAATTAAAAAGTTGGGAACATTTTTAACATACATATTAAACAATAATAAGTATGATAAATAAGAACTATTTTTATTAATGATGGAAATGAAATGCTGTTGTCACGAATAAATAACAAAATACAAAAATGGATAAAAAGAAAAATATAGAAATTAAAAAAATGGAAACATTTTTAAAATACACATTAAACAATAATAAGTATGATAAATAAGAAGTGTTTTTATTAATGATGGAAATGGAATGTAAAATTTAAAACCAATTGGAAATAAAAATATTTTCTTATTCTCTTTCATTAAAACCTATATTTAAAATATATTTTTCTCATCGTTAAATTCTTATAGTTAAACCCACAATATTAATTTTAATAGTATAAAAATAAATATTTTGAAAAGTAAGTTGAAAACAAAACCATTTTATTCCCTCCCGGAGGTGGGCAAGCAATTCGACCATTTGGGATCAGATGGACTAATAAATAACGCCATAATTAAATAATAAAAAATAAAATAAATAAGTATGAAATGTAACAAGTATTTTTATTAATGATAAAAATGGAATGCCAAATTTAAAATCTACCTAAAAATGAAATGGTGCCATACTTAAATAATAAAATTTATAAAAATAGAAAATACAAAGAATAAAAAAAAAGATAGAGAAAATTTTGGGCACATATCAAATGTTATATATTTATAAAAAATAAAACATTGGGTACTCCTCTAATATTACACATTCATTATATTGAGCAAAAAATAAGTATTATACATAAGAAATAGTTTTATCAATGATGAAAATGTAATACAAAATTTAATGTCAACCTAGAAATCAAACTATTTTTCTTTTTGGGTGGTGGGTTAGTGGTTTGGGTCAAATGATATCATAGACAAACAAAAATTAAGTGTGATAAGTAAAAATTATTTTATATAATGTAAATGAAATAATTTAAAGGGAAAGTTATAGTCAAAGTCAGTTGTACATTTTAAATTTGGTTGCAGGTTGGTCCAGAAACTAATAAAACTTCGACAACCAGCTCTACATTTCAAATTATAAAAAACCTTGTCATATCATCGAAGGCTTATGTAGTTATTGCCAACATGGGACTCTTAATCCATGTTAGACACAGCAAAAAGCCTATACTGAAAATATGTTTTCAATTTCTCTCCCACCCCCTCTGTCTCTTGATCTCCCTCCCTTCTCTCTCACTCTCATAGTCATCTATTGCTCCCACTCCCTCTATGACTCCTACTCTCTCAGCTTCGGTCTGTAGCCAAATCAAAAACTTTATCTCTCTCTCTCTCTCTCTCTCTCTCAATCTATCATTCTCCCTTAGTCTTTCTCTCGCTCCCTCTTTAATTCTTTTTTTTTATTTTTCTTACAAACTTATATAATATTAATAAGACCGTACGAAAGAACTAAAGGGACCAACCACTTGTACAATCAAGTTATAAATTTCTATCAAGTTGGCATAAATTCATAGCCAAGAGTTTCTTGCGGATTTTTATCAAATTAGTGTAATGATTTTTGAATCATACCAAATTGGTCTCATGTTCTTTTATACGATCCAATTAATACCATATAAGTGTGTAAGAAAAATTAAAAAAAAAAAAAGAATGAGAGAGGGAGTGGGAGTGGGAGAGAAAGAGAATGAAAGAGATTGAGAGAAAATGATAGGTGGAGAGAGAATAAGAGAAATTGAAAGAAACAACATACATACAAAAACCAAAAAACCATTTTTATTTATTTTCAAATCACACAGTCCTTGAGTAGAGAGAGACAACTCTGAGATTGAGAGAGTGTGGGAGAGAGAGAAAGAGAGAGAGAGAGAGAGAGAGAGAGAGAGAGAGAGAGAGGGAGGGAGGGAGGGAGCATGAGATAAACAAAAAACCCTTTCTTTATTTTCCAATCACCCAACATTAAAGGGCAATTTCCACATAAGCTTTTTGTTGTGTCCAACATGGATTAAGTCCCATGTTGGCAACAACCAGTTGTGAGAGTTTTGTTGGTTTTTGGACCAACATGTAGCCTAATTTTAAATGTATAACCAACTCTTACTATAATTTTCCCTAATTTAAAATTACGGAAAGCAAAACTAATTTTTTATTTAGATGGTGGGTCAATGATCCAATTTTCCAAAGAAACCCATGATGAAAATGTACAGAATTTTGTTGAAAACATTTGAGAATTCTAATGTTATGTATTCATCATATTAAATAAAAATATTTGTTAAAATAAAAATTATTTTTATAACAGAAATGGAATACAAAATTTAATAATAATAATAATAATAATAATAATAATTGTTGTTGTTGTTACTTTTGTTAATTTTCAATTTCTACCTTAATTATGATATATTTAAAATTCAAGTAATTAATATAAAAAAAATTATCTCAAATGCAACGCGTGTGCTTAATTACTAGTAATACAAAATATAAGGTTTTGCACTTTACATATTTGCATTTATACTCCTTCCAAACTGAGCCTAAGGGGCTCTGAATTTTCAAAGTGGGGGTGGAGGTAAGGATCCAGTTAGAAAACGTGGGTGGCTGCGAGCAGCCAGCCAATCTCTCTCTCTCTCTCAATTTTGCAGGTCAAGTGTTTTGACTCTTAGTTTGAAGCATTTGAAGGGTCAAATAACGCTGTTAGCTAATGTGATCTAGTTTATGAGTTTCGTGATGAAGGCACAAGTGCAATTCCAAGTTAGGGCCTACTGTTTAATATTTGATTCTTGAAGTCGAAGGGACATGGGACAGGCGCTTGATCTTTCTAAAGAACTTCAATTTGGAACTTACAACTTAGGCAGAAACCTATAGACAGCGGCAACTTTTGTTTTTAACATTTATATAATTTTTCTTAGGTACATATGGTGAAAATGTGTTTGGTAAATGTGCTGTGTTTGGGTATATCTATAACTCTTTTATTTTATAAGCTTGTTCGTTGCTTTCCTATTTATGCGCACGCAAGGGGGATTTGATCCCAGGTCTCTGATATAACAGGTCAGAGATCCTACCAAGTACCCGCCTAGCCACCGTCAGTTGGTGTTGATCCTTTATATTGGCTCATGGATGTGCATGATTTTTTTTCTGATCTATATAGTTGATATCAATGGCTTTAAACCTTTTACTGCTTTCGAAAAAAACAAAAAACATTTTAAATAATTTGCAAATGCTGATTTGTGCGATTAAGCGATGCACTTATTTCATTGTGAAATTCCATTATCAGTCTGTAGAAGTGTGCTGTTTATCCCAAGTATCGACTTGATTGTAAATGTAGTACTGGAGAGTACACAGTGGAAAAAGTACATAGAATAAAATTCATAATCTTGCATACTTCTTGAGGGGTTCACCAGCATCCTTTGCGTGTTCAGGCACAGGCATGTTGGATAGGAGTGTAACCCTTGATGAGGATATCAAAGCTTTGCTCCCAGAGTTAGAAGGATCAATCTTCCAGAGTTGAACCTCCCAAACCTTTTCAAAAATCTCACTCGGGTTAGTTTAGTTAGATACAAATTTTAGGCCAAAACATGTAAATATGAAATTGTCAAACATCCTCATTTGTGATATAAAAAAAAAGTTTGGTTTATTGCATGAAACGGAGAAGGCAAAAGTGAGATGGCCTGTAACTTGATTGTGGGTGGAGCCTGGAGGGAAGTCTATGATACCGTGAAATTGATAATTCTTGGAACATCAGCAATGTTTGGCTGTCCCACAAAGCATGTTTAGCCATTCAAAACATAGGCTGCAAACAGTATCTAATTGTCTGTCATCAAATTCAACCCTTTAAGGGTGATCCGAATTCGATCTATTTATAGTTTAATCAACATATTGATCCATCCCAATTAGAAGATCCATCCAATTTGAGGAAATCTAATTTCATTCGATTTAAATGTATAAACTCATATATACTTAAAACTAATGTTGTATTTATTGATAAAGGTAGTTTGAATGTGTATTTTAACTAAATTTTCATATGTTCAACAGTTCAAATTTCATATAATTATTTTCAATTCACTTTGTTCATATGGATACTAATGCGTTTTGATAAGCAGCAAAAAAATATTGAACTATACTATAAAAGAAAGCAAGGTGCCATGAGATTTTTACAAAAAGATTACAATATCAAAGTCATTTTTAGTTTATTTTATTAATATCTTAAAATATTTAAATCATTTTTAGTTTAATTTACTTAAAACTTATATCTCTATATATAGCAAGATGGTCCACATCACCTTGCTTCTCCTTGCTCCATTACCCCAACCCTACATTCTCCTTAATTCTCTCTCCTCTCCCACTTCCCACCACTCCCAAATTGCCATCTCAGAACACTTTCTTTTCATTCCTCTCCCTTCTCATTGGGTTCTCTCTCTCCCCCCACAAATCATGTCTCTCACTTTTTATAACAATCTAACTTCTTTCCTTAATTAGCTCAATATATGTTTTATCCTTTCCTTCAGTTCTATCTCCAATTTTCCCCTCTATACTCTCCACTTTCCCATAAAAAACAGGGCCATAATTTCTTAAGATTTGGTTTTCCAAATCAAACAATATTTATATCTATAAACGTAATTTCAAGCAAAGAGAGAGGAATAAGGGGAATTTGATGTTTCCTACATATTCATGGCATCTCCCATTATTGTTAAATAATATATTCTTAAATAATAATCTATTGTTAAATAATCCATTAGTTACGAAAATTATTAAAACTTTATGGAAAATATTCTACCAAAAATTATGAAATAATTATTTCAGAAATAACTCATTATTTAAAAATTTTTGGTTATTGATAAATGTTGAAAATTTCAATGTTTAGTGCAATTTACATTAATCATTGTAATTTAATAAATTTTCATTAAATATTTACAATAATAATTTATTGACAAGAAATATTACTAATTAGTGTAATTTACTAATATCTATAAAACCAATAATTATAATTAAAAATTATCAAATAATTTAAGGAAACTCTTTTAACTAATAATCCATAATTATTTTTTAAATAAGTAATTAAGAAATTAAGAAATTAATATATAAAAAATATTCTCCAAAAATATTTAAATAATAATCCATTAAATAATTTAGGAATAAAAAATTATTATTATTGTTGTTGTTGTTGTTGTTATTATTACTAAACAATTAATAGAAAATTAGGAAAATTAAATTAAGAAATTAATCTATCAGAAATTATTTCATAATTATTTAATTAACAATTCATTATTATTATTATTATTATTATTATTATTATTATTATTATTATTTCAATAAATATTTATTAAATAATTCAAGAGAATTATTAAGTCTATCCACACCGGTTTAGACCACTTGGTTGACTTCAATCATACCTAGTTTTACATTAATTAACAATAAATGATTTTACTTTTAATTAAAAATAATGTAATTTACCATAATTACATTAATTTACTATAATTACATTCACCTTGATTAATAGTAAATAATTGACATTAATTTATTGTTATTGTAAATAATTAATTTACTATACATTACTACTAATCAATAGAAATTTGAATAATTTTTGGAAATTATTTTAAAAATATTATAATTTATTGTTAGTTAATTAGTTATAGAAATTTATTAGAATTGTAAGGATGGCAATTTTCTCTATGAAGTTGGGGCCCTACCCTACCCCGCCCTGAATGGGGCAAGTTTTCTCTTTTCAAATCTTAAAGATGGGGCAAAGACAGGGTGCGGATAGGAAAAATATTTTTGCCCCAAATTAGGGATTGGGTTTGCATATAATTCCTCGAACCCAATGGTAAATTAGTAAAATATCCGAAGATTTAATAGTGATTTTTAAAATATCTCTAAGTTTTCCTCGTATTCTTATAATCCTAGGATTTCATAATTTCATTTATAAAATGTCCCTAAATTACCATAATCCAATTCCTAAAATATTCTCAAGTTTTCAAAATCCTATTTGTAAAATATCCATAAATTAGATTTTTTTAGATAGTTACCTCATAGTGAGGAAAATTTGGGGATTCCCCATCCCTAACAGGGAATGGGTGCCTTAACTTGAATCTGCCCCGCCACCGAAATCGGAGCAGGGAATAGAGTGTCTCAACTTACAGGGGTGAAAGACAAGGAGGGGTGCCCCATCCCATGCATCGCACCGCCCCGCTAATATTCAATATTTCATTACAATCTGAATTCAATCCAAATCTAATATAAATAAGATGAGTAAAATCCTAATTGAATTCAAATATAAACAAATCAAATCTAAATCTACATATATCCGATTCCATTTGATAACCACTACCAAAAAGTGTTGTGGAGGACGGTGTAGATCATGTTGAGACCCAGAAGAAATTATGGTCGGGGAATTCATTACTCTAGAATTAAAATATAATAATTAAGTTTTAGAGCATTTATCCATTAAAATAATTAAATTAGTTAATGAATAATGGGGATGATAATTCAATCAATCTCCATGTTTTTAAGTTTTAATTAATCAAACCATTATCACATGTAAATATGTTTATGTGGTAGGTATACCATTTGGCATAAAATAAGTTTATGGGGTAGGTAGTTACTAAAAAGATAAATCTAAGAATCATATAATTCATGCTCCAGGCTAGGAGTTTGGAATGGAATAGGAATTGGCCATTTCGATTCCAACTGTTTGATTGAGCAAAATCAGAATCACATTTTCATTCTTTGTGGAATGGCATTTCCCTATTTGAGGGAATAATCATTCCATCCTTCTCTCTTAGGAATGAAATTCTATTTCAGTTAATTTCAATTCCGGTTTCAATTTTTGTCTAAACCAAACAGACTATGAAAATAGACCTTCCGATTCTGATTCTAAGGGGTTTTGGATCTAATTCAGACCACAAACCAAACGAACCCTTAATTTAAAAATAAAACAAATGCAAAAATATACAATGCAAAACCTTGTAAAGTACTTTATCTTTAAACCTTGTAAAGCACTTGCTCAATTTAAGAGTACAAATACATTATTTAAATATTTATATTTGTAGCCTTCCCAAATTAAGCCTTATACATTCTTATTTGTACTCTTATACAAACAAACTGTTTGGTGATGGTTGAGTAGACGAAGGATGCCACATGGCAATCTCTGAGGTTGCCCCCCCTTCTCAGGTCATGTCGAGGTCATGCATAACAGAAGAGCACAGTTAAGGAGTGTTCTGCACGAACGAGTAAAAGGACTCCACCGGGGAAGAGGAAACCTCCTGAAGACCTCATCTGACGCCCTCATCTCGATAACCCCGGAAGCCCTATCCATCTGGGACACAGACACCCAACTATAAGTAGGTATTCCCCGCTCGAGGTAAGGGACCTTTTCTGGAACTGCACTCTTTGAACACCTCTTTACACTATCTCTTCGGCCCGAACCAAAACTATTTCAACCTGCCCATCCTAGCCACATCCTTCTCGATCCCATTGACTTGAGAGTTGGAGTACCTACCCGGGGAACAACTCCTTGAGCTTCTAACCTTTCTCTTGGTTACAGGTCTTGTTGCATGGCTTTGTGTTTCCACCTCAGCCTCGTCTAATTGGCAGGACTATCTGACTGTGTCCTCGATTCAGAACACCTCGGATCGCACAGCATCAGATTGGTGTCGTTTGTGGAATACAAACAAAAAGTCATTTTCCAAACCCCTCTCCGTACAGTAAAAACAACCATGCCTAAGAACACATACGACCGCTTTGAAGCCTGTTCCCCATCTCGGGGATCCTACTCAGTTCGCAGCTCCCCACCTCGGGAGCCCTAGCACCAGGTAATAGTCGACCCTGCACAGTTCCAAGCCATGCATCAGAAGGTCAACCATATCCTAGCCATGATGGAGACGTTGGGGCAACCGGCTCACTCCCCCTAAGTTACTCGCCCTACCGCTCAGGCGCCTACTATAGTCGATCCTTGCACCAAGGACCCCAAAAGGCGCCACGCAAACAAGCGTAGGGCCCAATTTAATCATGAGCGACCGCAGCTGTCCAGAAGATTTGACTCCCCAGCCCAGCCTCACACACATGATGCCCGCAATAGATCCCATCACTCCGCTCGAGTGCTAGCGAAGGAACGGCTCGGCCAACATTTGTAGTAGCTACCAATCTCGATAGAAGAATCCAGCTCGATCCAAGACTAGCCTGCAATTTGAAAGGGAAAAAGCCCGTAAATGAGGTTCGAGCCGATAGAGACGTTGAGATCAAAGAATTAAGAGAGCACTTGGCCGAACTATATTGTAGCCAAGTAGATAGAAGCACAGATCCTCCAATGGCAGACCCTCAAAGTAGAACCACATCCAGACCGCAAAGGAACCTGTCTTTATCTAGGAGATCATTTATGAGCTTCCCCCAGTCGGCTCGCAACCACCTTAGTTTGAGAAATACGATGAAACCTCAAACCGAAACGATCACATTGAGGGGTTCAAGGCAATAATGATGTTGCACGGCTCCTCCAAAGGTCTCATGTGCAAGGCCTTTGTCACCAC